GTGTGTGTGTGTGTGTGTGTGTGTATGTGTGTGTATGTGATGCACTCCCTACGGACACACTGTCCAAGTGCGCTGCCCTCCCCTCCACCACCACCACCACCACCACCACCACCACCCACCACCCCCCACTCAGATCCGACGAGGGACCACAAGGCCCTTAGAACAACATTTTTGCTCTGAGGGAGAGGAGCAGAAGTTACAGCCTGTGTGTTAATGATGGCTCACTGGTGATTCCCTCGCATGTTTGTTCAGATTTTGGCTTTGCTAACACATACAGGCACAAATCAACTCTGCATTTCTTTCTTTCTTTTTTTAAATTCTCTCAGTCCCAGTGAGGTCTGAACTTCCAGCGCTGATACCGGCCTCCACCGCCGACACTCTGGCCTTGATTTGTGCTACTTTTGATCTCTGATACTTTTGTGTTTTGTCTTCCTCGAGAAATAAATTTCCCTTCAGAAAATTCTCATTAATTTTCCTCCATGAGGCCAACTCTATCGTTTCTCTCTCTCTCTGCCTTATGCGTGATGTGTATCCACCAGGACTGAATAATATTTGGACAGGTGTTCTTTCATATACATTAACTTCAAGGGGTCTGGTATGCTGTTTCATTGCTGCCTCATAAAGAGAAAAAAGGGGCAGCATAACCTGGCTGGTGGATCCTTAAGCCGGTGCTGTATAATGTAGTCTATACTGTATGTGTAATCCCTAACAATAAAAAACTGTTTAGCACCAATTTTCCTTTACTTTTAAAACCTCCTTTTTTTTTCCTGTTTCAGACAACTGTGGAGGCCACATCTGGAAGACAGATGTAGTCCCAGAGCTTGTTCTCTTGCCTTTGACTCTCGCTCTCTCTCCCTCGCATTCGCTGCTTCTCACTCACTCTCTCCCCACTCTCTCTTTCTCGCGTCTTTCCCTCCCTCCCTTCGCTTTTTGGGAAACATGAGAGCTGGTTTAATTCTCTCTCTCTCTCTCTCTCTCTCTCTCTCTCTCTCTCTCTCTCCCACCCCGGCCGGACCACCCACATTCGGAAACGCCTAGCTGTTCCTGAGGCAGAGCCGCCGGCAGTTTAGAGACAGAGGGAGAGCGAACGAGTGCGGGAGAGAGAGAGAGAGAGAGATGTAAGGATGGGTTATGACTGACGGTTTTAGCAGAGTATCAATTACATCAATGTCAAAGCCATAACCTGCCATTGTGTGAGGGGGAGAGAGAGTCTTGGACGTCTGAGGCGGCTGCTTTATGCTCAGCTGAGTTTAAGCAGCAGGAATCCTGGGCTTTTGTTCCTCGCACCGCAGCTATCTTTAGCCTCTCACCTCACTCTCCAGCAAAATGATGTTTTTCATAATCATGCATCTCAGAAAATACAGAAAATACCTCATGCTTAAAGTTCACCTCTGTCATTTTCTGACCATCTATAAACTGGACAGAATACTCCATAACTTCATCATTTCTATAACAATGAATCATTTCAGATTCAAAGATCTCAATAAAAATAACAGTGAAATGTTCTTAAAGCAGCAGCTTTTATTTGCTTGATAAGCAGGAAATAAGTATCTCTCAGTTCACCTCAAGCATTTAAACATCTCCAATATTATAGTCAATGTCTCCCCCTTGTGGATGTTTCTGAGTATTGCCTCTTTGAGTGTTTTTAAACATCTGCTCTAACCCCTTCATAAAAAGTGTGTGACAGTTGTAACTAATCACTTTAACGGTTAATAAAATAATGTATCATTTCTTTATGGATCAATAATAAGCCACTTGTGAGAACACAGATCGGCCGCCAGGTAGTGATGAATCTATTCGGCTGTTGTGTTTCTTCCAACATTACGACACTTCAATTTTTAGTTAAAGCTGCATTAATAAATGATAATTGTGACGTGACTCAGCTTAACGTCTTTAAACACTTTGTTTTGTTTTGTTTTGTTTTTCACGGCAACTTTAATGTTGTAGTTCCCCCTCACAGCTCTCCTGAAGCCAACAGAGAAGTGCAGAAAAGCCTGGTACAAAAAAACAGTTTTGGTAAAAAAAAAAAAAAAAAAAGCTAATTTCCCTCTTTGTGGTAAAAGTACGGGGGTGAATTTTTATATAATTCACCAGTTTAAATTTAAAGTTACGTATAATTGAGGGTGTGGCGACTTTGAGTGACAGGTGGGTGAGCGCATGCTTACCACAAACCGGCATGCACCGACGTCTCAGCTCCACAGAGGCCCAAAGTCTTTGCCCTGTGTGGATTGGCCGGGAGTTAGGGGCGGAGTCAAACACTGCCAAGATGGCGACGGCGGGGCAGCCCACTCTGAGCTTCAAAAACGCTCTTCAGAACCTACAGGTGACGTCACGGAGGCTACGTCCATCTTTACGGCCTATGTGTGTGCACCTGAAGGCAGCTGTTTTCAGGGGAAAAACCTCTGAAAACCGACTGTGCACTGTCTGCCCAGCGCCAAACAGAAGACAAAGAAATATCAAAAAGTCAATATTGGGCTTTACATTCATTATGGTCACCAGAAACACGACTCTAAATAAATGCTAATGCTGCTGGATGTTTAAATTAGCAAGCGTTTGCTAACAAGTTCGCCATATAAACTTAAAAAGGTGACGTGTCAATGTTTTGTTTAAAGCCCCCAAGTGGCCGAAGAAAATACTTACGACAGGTTTAACAACATTTGCATTCCCAGACTTAATTATTACTGTAGCTGGAGAGAATTTAATCATTTACATTTATGACTTGTAGCTTGTATTAATAACTAGTGGCTGAGGAGGTTGAGGGATCAAGAAGCTAACTGATAACACAGAGCAAATTATACCAGAGGAAGATGAACACCAGCCAAAGGGATTTTTCAAACCTGGCAACCCAAACATTGTTCCTATCAGTGGGTTATTACTGGTCCATTAAGCACAATTTGTTTACCATTAACAAAGTAATCAGCTAATACAGAGTGGTAATTATTAGTGTAGAGGTCAGGCATAAATACTATCCTTATAAGTGCTAGCTGGTGAGCCCCTAGCTTAATAACACGCCGGTTTGCTGAACACAGTGAAGTGACTTTAAGGTGCAACTTAATGTGTAATATATTAAAATTTGAGATTATCTCTTATTTAGTTTTCTGCGTTTTCCTTCTCCCCACCTCGGTAGCCACTGATCCCACAGTGGCCCCCACCATACCCCCAAACGGCCCTCCCACGAACAGGCCGACCAGGGCTCCGAACAAGGCCTCCCTCCTCACCAGTGTAGTCAGCCACCTCACCCAGCTCGTCAGCTTCTCCCACAGAGAAGAGGGAGCGGGGGAGGAGGCTGAGACAGCGGCAGGGGGGAAAATACTATCTATATCCACGTCGAGGTCTCCCACGCTCCTCTCTGCCTCTTCCCGGACCGCTTCCATCTCCTCTTCCGTAACATTTTCCTCTGGTTGTGAGTCTGTGGGAGACACCTGGTCGTTCAGCTCCTCTGCTCTTCTCTCTCTCGCTATCTCTACCTGCCTCTCTCTCACTCTCTCCTCGGCCTCTCGGTACAAAGGGCAGCTCAAGTGTCGTGTCTCCGTCACTACCTGCTCAACCTTCTCCAGCAGCTCCTCCACAGCTTTCCTCTCCTCCGGTTCCCCACCGCGGGTTTCCAGGGTGTGGTAGCGCTCACCGCATTTTTCCACCAGCTCCTGGAGGTCTTTGCGCCAAGTGACGAGGTATTCTTCCAGCCGCTCGTCCTCCTCCAGCTCCTCCGTGTGGGTGAAGAGTATGATGGTGTTTCCGGTGACTGCAGAGGGGCCGAACAGCGTCGTCAGGGCAGCCAGCGCCTTGGCCTCTCCGTCAGCGGGCTGGTTCACAGGGACACACAGCAGGAAGGCATGTGGCCCCGGGCTGGATAAAGCGATGAAGGAGGAGATGTGTTTTCTCCTTTCCTCTGGGTCGCAGTCGGAGCCGAACCAGGCTGGACTGGTGACAACCACCACCTACACAGAGGCGGCAGAAGCATAACATCAAGGTTGAACAGTGTTTGATGTGACTGATGTGTTACTGTAAGCAAATAGAAGATAGGACAAGTAGGATTTGAATAGATTACACTGGAGGTGACAGTAATCCATGGAAAGCTGGACAGTAAATATTTGTGAATGCAGATATGTGGTGCCATGTATCATGTATGTACCCAAATATGCAGATGTATAAATATATATATATTATATGTACCCACAACAGGCCTGTTTAAAAAATTAATGCTTTTTAAGATCTCAATAAATTAAAATTAAGACCAAACCATGTCGAAATGATTTCTTTTACTCAGACTTTTGTTGTTGCTCTCCTGTAAACGATGTTTTAAAATAGAGGCAGAAAATTCAGATGTGAACACCTGCAGCAGCAGGACTACACCACTAATTTTGCATGTAGAAATAATTATTACTTCCTATTACTGCTAAACATTTTCTAAATCCTACTACAGAATTTCAGATTAATTTTTAGATAATCAGAGATATAAAAAAATAACATGTTCTTAATGTTTAGTAGTGCAGATCTTTTAGCCCTCATCACTTTGCACAATGATTGTTTATTTTATTTTTTAAATTTGTGTCTGTTAATAAAGTGACATTAAACACCATCATTATTATTGTGTTATTAGCTAGTTATTAGTTTTTTTCCCACCAATCTAAAACACAAATTTAATACCTACAATAAATTTACAGTTAACATAAGACATTATTTTCCTTTATTTTAATTTCAGACTTTTTGGAGTTTAATGACCTGTGTCAGGATTTGAGTATTGCATTCCTCTATTTAAGTTATAATTTTTTTAACATCTTCAATACAATCTATGGCTGTATTTCTCCTGTTGCAGCCACTCCATGTATTTATACCCATTAGCTGCCTCTCCTATATAGTGTCCAGCCATCCCTGCACTGGATTCAAATGGTCTGGACAAGGGTTACACTGAGCTGAATGAATGTCACATAATGAAATAATCCAAAACAGCTGGTTCCAGGTTTTATGAGCAGGACAATGTTTGCATTGGTACAATTATAGCTACAACAAATTCCAACGACACATTCAGTCCTTCATCATGGTCTCTTTATTGGCTGACGGAGAAGCATGTTTCTATTCTTAGAGTTTCCTCCAGTAACTACAAGTGTTCCCGAACCGACCACAACTGAGGTCTTAAGGATTATAACTTTAGTTTGGCCATAATGTTTGCAACTGGATTTGATTTTGCATCCAAAAAAAACTTTAAATTTAAGGTGCCTTTTTCTAACTGTGGTTGTCAATTGATGTCATTCCAGATAAAGATGCTGCTGCTGCTGCTTATAAACTTGTTCATCAGAGATGTGGTCACTGCCCAGGAGAGATTAAAATCCTGTAAAAGCCACAATGTGATATTGATAATAATGATCCAGACATGTTTTGTGTAAAGCCTCTGATATGCGTCTTTATTACCCTTGCCTTACTGGCCTTATATGTACTACTGTGAGTGTATTTTCTGTGTGTATTTCACTCACCTGTCTGCCTGCGACCTCTCCTCTGTGTTTACTACACTCATGGGCGTCTGTGCCCTGCTCGGAGTCTTGCAGGCCCAGGATGGTGTTGACTGCTGGTCTCTTTCCTGCCCCGGCCCGGCCCAGCACCACCAGCCTCAGCTCTGCTTATCCGGAGGAACAGGGCCAAGATACACAGCAGTGGGGGGGGGGGATGAAAGAAAATGTCATTTTCTCTTTGTTTATATGTCACACTGACTGCACATTGAGAGAGAAGCTACACAAGTTTTTCTCAAATGCATAAAGATAAAATTACTTGAACTCCTATAACCTCCTCGTGCGTGCATGTAAAAGTAAAAGCCTATCTGTTCATTCTGCGTGCTGTTTGATATGATATCATGTCATCAGTCCGTAGAAGCCAGAACCGCTTTTAAAAAAATAAAATTTCCTCAGAAGTGACAGCGCCCTTTGCAGCTGCCGACAAACCGCACGATTACCCGAAAACACGCAGCGGGAAGCCGCGCCTACTGACTTCTCTCCTTGTTGGTGTCTCTCAGACACGGTTCGTGAAACACAAGTCATCTACACATGAGTCGTGTGACTTACCTGACTGTGAAGCAGACGCGGACATTTCTTCCTCCTGTTCGCTGCCGGTGGTTAGTGTTGAATCAGGGATGAGAAACACTTCCTAGTTCCTGCAGCCTGAGTCAGACCCGCCTCTGGTCCTGGACTCACCACTTCTCCAGAGGTGAACACAGCTCCATCTGTTGTGGCGGCTGAGGCACGGTTTCTCAACCTGAGGCCCGAGGACCGAGCAGGGTCCGGTGTAAAAATGAGTACATAGGTTTTTTTAATCACTTAAACCCATTTTTTTTTAGATCACAATTTAGAGGCTTAAATTTACAACAGCCTAGATTTTCACCCCTCCTACTTATTATTACTTTTTTTTTGCATATTTCAACATATATTTTCAATTTTACTTTATCGTTTTGTCTGTTACCCAGCTGTACCTAATCTATTGGTTATTGTAATTAAAATGAAGAAGTGCATTTAATGAAGTATCTATATATCTAACTGATAACAGAAGATGGGTCCATGCTAGTAGCTCTGTTAGCATAGCAGTGCTTTTGGAGCTAGTTTACATCCGCATGCTAACTGGCTCATAATGGCAATGCTAACATGCTGATGTTAAGTAGCTACACTGTTCACCATCTCAGTTGGGTGTGTTGCAATGTCAGTGTTTGCTAACTGGCACCAAATGTGCATGAAATTTTGAAAACAAATTTCACAGCAACCAGAAAAACTAAAAATGTGAACGTCCTGGTGGCACAAGAGGAAAAGTCAAAGCATCGCCAGAGTTAGCGGGCTTCATCCTCTGGGCTCCAGAAACAAAATGTCATGGTTATCCATCCAGAAGCTTGTTGAAATATCTCAGTGTGGACCAATGTGAGTGGTCCATCATCTAATAAAAATAGCAGAAGCTGCATCATGGCTGAACAGATCATTATTTTAATGTTGCCATTTTGTTAAATCTGAAGCTCTGACAGTGAATTGCTCGAACAGCTCTTGATTAACACAAGGCTGCACCCCAAAGGCGTTTTCTATCACTACGGTACAGTCAAAGTGTAAATGCTGTATCCACAGTAAAATATCAAATCTATAAAACATGAAGGCATGACAGTACTTTTTACATGGTAAAAGAAAAAAAAAATAAGCAGGTGTTAAATACATTATCTTATGTTGATGATGAGCAAAAGAGAACTTAACTATTCCTGTACATTTCAGTAAAAAAATCCAATATACCAAGACGTGTACAGGACACCGACCAACCACACCCCCTTAACAGCGAAACTGATGCACACTTACATTCGTTGCAGGCACACACCCATTCATACAACACACTGTACAGTAACAGTAAAACTAAGCTGACATGCCAAGAAGGATTAGCCCGTTCAGTAAAATGTTTTGTTTAAAAAGTATGACAATTAGAAAATTAAGAGAATGAGGTTTTTAAAAAAATACACTTTAAAAACATGTTGACACTAGAAAGATCCAAGTTTTCAGATGCCAAGCAGTGGCTTAAATTAAAGTCCGAGGGTCACTCCTGTACAGGAACCAATCCAGTCAAATCTGCCGACTCCAGACTGATTATCATCCTTTACTCACAGGCCAGGCATGATGTAGGCGATGTTGTCCAATGTATTTGACTGATGTAAGAAGAGAGAGCTGTGTTAGAGTGCTGCAACAGAGGCGTACACGATCATTGCCAAGTCTGCATCTCCTGGATGTAGTGAAAGTGAAAGTGAAGAAGGAAGCTGACACCACCCCAAAGTAACGATGTCAATACTATACCAGGACGTTTCGAGGGCATCCATTTAACTGTGGTATCTGTGCTGTGAGACAGGTCAGCGGCCCCAGAGCGCACAAGATGGAGTCGAGAAGGACAGACAGACTCCCGGACACGGCAACCATCCCCTAACACAAAGAAGCATCACCCACATGATTCACTTACTCCACTGCATAGATCAAACATCTCAATGTCAGACTTATAACCAAAAATGTTGTTGTCTATTTTAGATATTAGATATAGATATAGATTAAAAGAATCACTGCAACGTGTGTGCACACATGCATGTGGAGACTTACCTCTGTTTCCTGTAGTCGATGCCCGATCAGAGACAGGGACTCTCCTAGTAGCTGCAGATGGGCTGCTGCATCGATGGGATCAACATCTGGGACTCGTGCAGGGGACAGAGACATAGTGGCGGGAGCTCTGTTCGGCGACACCATCCCTGTTCCTGTTGCAACAACTTTTATGACAAAAGACAAATTTTAGACAACAGTAATGAGAGTTGAGGATACTGAGATAATACAGTTTTCTTATTAATCTCTCAGGGCTCCAGAGAGATTCAAGTGCATGATCGTTATTCATTAGGCTGTTTAGGAGCCTCGCATGTACTGCGTTGTAGTTGAAAGTAGTTTCTTCTTCCTTCACTGGCTCAGTCGGTCTGACTACCTGCACTTTCATCAGAATGCAGGTGCAGACGGGGACACACAGAGACAGAGTATGATGCTGTACAAAGCTACGTTGTGTGCAGAGTGTAAGAAATTGCAAACAACTCTAAACTTGGTACCAACTTAAACTCCTGCAATTAAGCACAAAACCTGCCAGGACCGATGCATCGCCCGACAGACTGAGGTCTTCCCCACTTCTTTTCAGGGGGAGAACGAAATGATCATCAAATTCAACTTCAAAGGGGTTAAAATGGGCCGGGGCCATATCACACTAGTATTTCTTAAATCTCCCAGTAAATTGTGCCTCATTACAAATCTAGTGATATAAATTTTGTTTAACTTAATTAAAGAAGAGGAGGTCTCAAAGCCTCCTTCATGAAGATGCAACCAAATCATGTGCTACCAGTGAGAAAGTTAGTGTGGAGCCCTGTCTCTTTAAAATACCTTTGCTTTTGCTCTCACTGGAGCTCTTGTGTTTGATTGTTGTGGCCTCAGCTTTGTTCTGTTTGTGCTGCAGATACTGAGCTTTCTGCCTCCAAACCTGCACAGAAAGAACACACAGAAAACACGGCACGCTCAGTGCAACGCCACAGCTGCAAGCCTAAGAGTGATATTCCATTACACATTCAACTTTTCCCCAAACGCTTTCTCCAATATTAAATACAAATAAGGGAAAAAAAAACTTACTAGTTTGTCTTTCTCAGGCATCGCCTTCCACACCTCTGCCAACTTTTTGCTTAGCTCACCAAAGACTGAAGATTAGACAAACAAACATATTGTTAACACAGTTTCTTTTAGTAATACTTAAGAGGACAATCTGCCAACGACTGTATTTACAAGAGAGTTATTCTGTACGTCAGTATTTGACCCACCCAGTCCTGGCTGTTCTGCATTTATGTTGACCCTGTACTCCTTACAGAACACCTGATATGCTGTTGTGTTCTTCTTCTTGGGCTGAATGAGGACAAGGAAAAGAAACAATAAAGTAAGAAAGAAAAACAGCTGTACTGGGTTGTTGATGAGATTTTTATTGCTAATGACTCAACAAATACAATCATTTTCTCTACTTTCGAAAACAGACTGTCAACCCTAAAAGAAATATATTTACCTTATCTTTATCTTTCTCGTGCTTCTCCCGATCTTTCTCCTCTTTCTTCTTCTTCTTCTCTGTCACTCCATCACTGCCTTGATGGTGGTGTGGAGGGATGGGTGTGCCCATGGCGTACATCGGACCAACAGCGCTATGAGTGACAGTGGGATGGGAGTGGCTGTGGCCCCTCGACGAGTCTGAAGAAAGTCATACGAAGGTTATGACAGGGGTCAAGGGTTAAAGGTTAGAGAAGCTGAAAATGTATAAACTCTGAACAAAACTGAAAATGTTATATCTTTATACTGCTCGTTTCTGTTTCACAGTTTACACAATACTTAATTCAGCTTGGTTCAGAAAAAGCATTACACCACAGTTACACTTGCAATCTTCAAAGCTTTCTACAAATGTGCCAGTGTCAAATTTTCAGGCTAAATTTATTCTAGCCAAAAAATATCACTGTAAACAATATTATCACAATATTATACCAATGATACTATCATTAGAGCTGAAGTAGTGAAGTGCAGTTAGTATAATAGTATAATAATAATAATAATAATAATAATAATAATACAGTATAATAAAGTAAAATGACTTCCCTTCCTGATCCACAGATTTTATCAAACCTAACAAACTGTGTTGAAGGCCTCACACATCCATTCAAGTTTTTATACATGTTATGATTTCTTTAAGGTGTTCATGTTAAAAGAAATCATTTCAAAAAGGCAAAATGTTTTTAATGTTTGGCACAATTATACTGGGCCCCTAGAAGCCTCTTGCACTGCCATCTGCACAACTACTGACAACTACTGACTACTGTCAGTTGAAAGTGACCCACAAAGAACCTAAAGTGCACAAATACTGAGCAGAGGGTTTCCTCGTGTCAGTCATATCAATGGTTGCTCTGTCTATCACTTCACATTGCGTCTAAGCACCATGGCCATGGGAGCTACAGCTAGACAGACAAGGGGCTTGATGTGCTGGTCCTTCTGTGTACGACCAGTGGAGAGGCGCTCTTGTGGCTAATTGGACATGACGGTAATAGAAATGAATAAACTCACCTCCAAATCCTTTGCTGTGCTTCTTGTCCTTCCCACTTTTATCCTTATCTCTGTCTTTCTCCTTGTCCTTTTTCTTCTTGCTTTTCTTGCTCTTCTTTTTCTTTTTTGACAGGTGTGTGTACGAATCGTCTATAACTAGCTCTCCCGCCTCCAGCTCACCCCCAGATGAAGAACTATCATCTCCCATTCCACCTCCATAATGACCTGTTTTAACAGACAGCAAAGCAACACAGAGCACATGTATTAACAAACAAGACAAAGCATCGAGTTCCAAGTATTAATTCCTACAAGTGGAGACACATCTAGATCATAGACTATATGTAACCAGGTATATTTGGATGACAACTGTTACTGACTAAAAAATAACATAACTTGCATCTCCTGGAGCATCATTTAGGTTTCTCACCTTCCACCTCCACCTCTTTGCCCACTACAGGCAGTGGATCTCGATTCTGCTGTAGCTTCTTCTTGGGTGACTTGGAGAGCTGCATCCTGTCTCTATCCTTCTCTTTCTTCGCACCTCCTTTGGATGAGTGTGGCGTGAACGGGAAGGTCTCTCCTTCCTCTTTCTCTGGCGACATGATGAGCTTCATCTTCAGCCCGTCGGCCTCGCGTAACGTCAAAGGCTCCTCTTTGGGAGCTCCGCCGTGGAACAGAGATGACTTTGAGGAGGAAGAGTGCTTCTTGGAGGAAGATGACGAGGAAGAGACAGGACGGGAGTGAGAGAAGGAGTGGCTCCCTTTGCTTCCACTGCCACTGCTGCCCTCACGTTTACGGTCCTTGGAGGAGTGTGAGGAGAAGGAGGGGTAGGAGGGTTTTTTGTGTAAGTGGGGGCTGGGGTCCGAACCTGTGGCCAGGGGAGAGGTGATGGCCTGCAGGAGGCCCATCGCTGTATCTGTCGGGTGGGAAGATGACGGGGAAGACAGAGGTGGGGAGCGGTCTGCAGACTTGTGCTTTTTCTTGTGGGGGGGTGGGCCTGAACCATCATGGTCTGGCACACGGAAGAGAAAGAACAAATTAAAAAATGCAGTTAAGAGTCAATTTTTGTGAATTAAAAGATTATTACCATATATCAACATCTCACCTCTGTAATAGTAGTCATCGCTATTTTTTTTCTTCTTTTTGTGTGAGTCCCCTCCCAGCATGAACAGTTCTGAATCCTGATGGGAAATGACACAGTTACTTACCAATTCAAATACATTTTTCAAAATATTAAAATGTCCAATAGCACTGTAATATCTAAAAAGATTTCTGTGATATTAAACTATTAAATCAAGTTATTGCAGAGAGATAACTTACCTTGGGTCGTTTCTTAGAAGACTTTCGGACCTGAGCAGCAATCTCCTCCTCTTCTCTTAGCAGATCCTTGTACGACCTCCTCTTCTCTCTCTGGCTGCGACCAGCTACAAGGCCCCTGTCTCCATCCATCCCCACATCTAAAATATAAGACATCCATATTATAATCCTTACCTCTAGGGTAAAAACTTGATTCTCTGCGACACATGTGCAATGTTTAACAGCCTATATGATGAGTCTCGTTACACTTCTTGACATGTTCTCCCTTCATAACGCAAACTAGCATACAAACAGAAGTGCATATGTTTCATAAGCCTGTGCAATAGGAACACCGCAAAACAACATTACAAGAAGACATTACCCATTCCTCCTTTGCTCTTGATCTCCTCAAAAGCCATGGTTCCTCCTTTTTCAACACGTTTACTTGTCACAGGATGTCACTGACAACAAAAAGGCAGGATAATGACCTGTTAAGTGAACACAGAGAAAAAAACAATCAAAAGAAAGTTAAGGTATTGAATATTGGTGCAGTAGTAATAATAGCATCGATTCTGCCCCAAAATAAAGAATAACAGCAGTTTAGGGTAACAAAGTGGAAAACTTCACAACATCTTTTAACGTTACCTAGACATCAACAAAGGTAACTACACCTACATTGCTATTTGGTTGCTGCAGCTATTCCTGGTTAGTACTACTACACTGAGCCGTCCAAACAACACTGGAGAACTTGAGGAAAATGCCATTTGCGTAATATCACGTTAATGATGAGGTCTGTCGCCTACAAAAGAGTACAAAAATGATAGCTAAACAAATTCCCGCCTACTTTTGTAAAGATACACAAACACACCCCCTCTCCATTCACTTTGACTCCTTAGCTCCCCATTCCCAACATTTCCAGCACTCGAATCCGTCCCGCCGAGCGAGTCCTCAGCTGGCCGGCGAGAGCGGCTAAAGAAAGCCCGAGGCTTTCACCCACAGTTAGGCCGCGGTCGCCTCAAGTGGACAAAAACACAGTGGCAGACATGCGTTCAACTCTGCTTATGTCTTCTTCTTCCCTGAGATGATAGCATGTGTAGTTTACAAACACCGGGAGGTGAGGAAATAATGTGTTTATTCAATTTTACTACCTCTATGAGATCTCCAATTTACGCGGGTCCGGTCGCCATCTTTTATCGGCGAAACAATACGTGTCCGTGTAGGGGAGGGGCTTGGGTAATGCAACCAATCAGCGTGAGGTAAAGTAGCCATATTAGCAACACATTCGCTAAAGCTGTAATTCAATGTATCCTACTATTCACAATGGCAATTACAAAGAGCGCTCTCATTTAAAATGTTGATATTGAAATAAGTATAGTATAATACAACTGAAATCCAGATGCATATACCAGTCTTTATCACATTGTATGAAAGACAATATTTCATGAATATAGCCAAAGATATTGATTTATTGATTCGCACAACCATTTACAACAACAGCCAAATCAGTTTTTACAATACAGTTGACATACAAACGTAACATGCAGTACAAGAGAAAAGGCATTGTGATCCAAAGGTGTTGCTGATAAGAAATCAAAAATTACAACAGTGAAGACTGTGAAACCATTTCATGAGAAATACATTTCATAATGATCATAGAGCTTGGCTAACAATGGCAGGCAACAAGAGAACATGTCAGCGCACAAACACAGCGATGACTCACTCATACACACATCACTCACTTACACACTTACACACACAGTAGAGAGCCGAGGTCCCACTGCACTGGGTTAGCTTCTTTTCCCCTAGCTTCCTGTTATCAATGTATTTTACCATTTGGGGTTTCTTTTATCTTTCTTTCGAAAGGCTGACATGCAATACTCTTTTTCTGTCCTTCAGATGAATGCTTATCTACTACACAACAGCAATGGCCACACAAAAACCTTAGCATCTTTTCAATTTAACCAAGACAACAATAATTTTGTTAGCATTGTTAGCATATTAGTGCACACACATCGAAATCTTACCAGAGCTGTACTCGAATGCTAACAAAATAATCAGTCTTATCTTGGTTAAAATGAGGAGTTGAAATGTTACTGTCCAGCACAGTAGTACTGTAGCAGAACATTTGTTTTGACATATGGACAGAAAACCACAGCATCATGGTTCCAGTTTGCTTGTCTGGATGCTAGTGGAGCAGAGGCTTGCTTGGAAAGGAGCAGGACTTCAGCTCTCTATACACTTTATCTTCTACCTATCCCCCAAATTCTGTTTCTGTAGACTGAGTGATGTAAAACTGGCCAATAAATCAGTCACCTCATCCACCTAGGGAAAAAAAACAACAACAAAGCAAACATGGATATGTTGGTGAAAAACAAACAGATAATAAATCATCATACCTGCAAATTGAAGAACATACACATCTCAGTTTAATTACACCATAAATCTTGGTGTTTATGCATGTGAATCTGAGTGTGTCGGCCTCACCTGCTCTTTGGTGCGTGTGTGCTGCAGCTGTGTGGAAATGTGTTCCAGCCGCTCTTTAGCTTCACTCTGTCCCATTAAGTTCAGGTATTCCCTCAGCATTTGAATAATCTGTAAAGGGAAGTAAGATAGAAGCCATCATGATCTACACCATCTGTACCAAAACATCAAGCTCTGATCTCATTACACCGGTTAAGTTTAATGCGTTCTCTCACCTGTGTGACTTCCCCTCTCAGGGTTTCTAAGCTGCGTGAATCTCCCTCCTGCAGAATGTTGAGCTTCGAGCGCGCTAGATGCAGCGGCGTCCTGCCTGCTCGGTCGAGGGCGTCCACACGGGCTCCTTCACAGAAATAACAGGAACACAAATGCTTACACATTACAGATGCTTATTAAACTGTTGTGATAGACACTCAATTCTAATTGACAAATACTTTTTAATCTTTAAAAGTTTATTAGCTCTGATTAAAAAGATTGGTGTTGTCATTAATCTGACATCACTAATTTGTTGAGACCTATTTGCAGCAACATGGTTATATTTTGTATATTTATACATACATTTTGAAAGTATAGCAGGGTTATGTGCTTACTGTCCTACAACTGAACTATAGTGCTACACATAACTTATAAAATATTGTTTCTGATTGGCTGGCAAGTGTCAATTGAATCATATACTGGGACATCAAAAATATATTACTGGTGAACAGTATAGTCATCCTTCTCAATCAGTGCTCATGGTAGCTTATATTAATCTACAAGACACTAATTGTGTTACATCTTTATAACTTACAGTTAAAAAGGTACCATTTAGAGTTTTTGACCATGAGCAGATATAAGGAGTCATGTTTTAATGAGCGAGTCCCGGTTTTGTTTGTATTGAGCACACAATTGACCCAATACACATTATAACGCTGATGCACAAAAAGAAGTACAATAACATGCCAGCAAAGGCAAGGAAGAACAAGACTGCAAGCTCGTAACATGGATGGAAAAATCCAAAACAAAAAAAACAAAAAAAACAAAAACACAATGGCTTGGCAAAGGTTTGATGATAGGGGAAATGCACTCCACCCATTTGTTAGACGTCAAGGATATGGGTATGCAATCAATTTTTGGTGGAAAACACTCAATGCAAATATAAACTCCACAGAGTTCCTTAAATTAAAAATATTCACATGAGCAAAAAGAGGTTTAATGGAGAAAGAGTTTGATATTTAGCGACTGGCCGTGGTTTACTGAAAGCACTTTGTCTGCTGGGCACAGTGGCTGTCTCCACCTCCACCTAGTCCATGATTTTCCCATATTACAACAGTTTAAAGTGCATTATTGTACTTACAATATGACCCCTATTGCTTACTTATGTCAGTCACAGTCACATGTACTGAGGCTCAAATTTAATTAGTTCAAAATGTATACACATGCAAAAAAACTTCTGTCCAGACTGAGTAAATTGTAAAAACATGTTGAATCTTTGGGAACAGCAAGCCTTTACAACCCCTCTAAGTCCATGAACCACCCACCTTTATGCATTACGCCTTACACACGCTCCTTCATGGCAACAGATAATTGAAAATTGTCCCTTATATAGTGTTAAAAGTTGATTTTATTCCATTTATTTTCAGCTAATTTACAAAGAGCTCTGCTTCAATGGGAAACTGAGTAATATGTATACATAAAGAATTCAACACTTCAGCAGTGGTCTTACCTCCTCTCAGCAATGTGGTGATTACAGGCACATGGTTAGTACAGGCCGCTGTGGAAACACAGGGTGAAATGTGCACAATATACATTAACGGAACTTTTTCAAACCACTTGTTACATGCAGAATCATCACTTATATTTTTTGCTTTATGTCTTTCTACAGCGTATCTGTATACTTTCACAGGTGTGAGCCTGAAAGAGCTGCACAGTTTGTGTGTCAGAGTGAAACCACAGTCATATGCATTATTGACCGCCGTGCTGTGGGTTTTACGGGTCATGGTGATTGTTCTCTTACCCAGATGGAGGGGGGTATTTCCCAGACTGTCTCGCTGGTTGGGGTCAGCGCCGTGGCTCAGCAACAATTGCACTATAGACATATGAAAATAAGATTTGACTAATAAATTGACAAATTAATTCGATTAAGAAATTGATAAATTCATCTGTGGGATAAGCTACAAAGCAGCACAGTTGTTCAGTGTATTGTTCGACGACACAATTTAGAATTGGGGGTTTCCAGCTGTGCTGCAGCATTATATGTGATTTCCTATGATACTGTTACGGCAACCTAATAACTGTCCCCGACCTACCAATGCTCTCATTGCCGTTGCAGGAAGAGAAATGAAGAGCTGTCCTTCCCTTGTCATCTGCTGCACAGGGGTCTATGTCCTCTTGCAGGAGCTTTCGAACTGAGGGAACACAACTTTATTAGCAAAAAACGCATCCTTCTCCCACACCGCTTTAAAAAAGAAGGTATTTCATGGTACCAACCTCACTTCTCCTACCTGTGTCGATATCATTGCTGTTCGCTGCCTCCCTCAGTCTCTTCACAGCTGTGGAGATAAGACATTCAAATTGAGAAGTATGTAAATGTGGATTTATGATTGGGTGAATGAGGTGATTCTGTGTGGCATCGGGGAAACAAACAAGAGGACAGCACTGGCTTTACACTTTTCAAAGGGGGCTGTGTAATTGTCATATAATGCAACTGCATACTGCTGATGAGGGTTACTTTATGTTTGAATAGGAAATTTGTATGATGCTGATATGAAGAGATGAGACTAGATATCTAGTGAGATTTTATCATGAGACTTTGCTTAAATGCTGATACAACTTAGTCTTACAAATGTAGTCAACACATTGCTCTCTCTACACACTCACACTACACATGCACTCAGCTTGTTTATTATCAAATTAACAGACAACCTGACTGCCCCTTACCGTAAATATCTTTACCGATAGGACCCTGGTTCCGCACGGCTCTGTGGTGCCGCCTGGCCCGGCTCCCCGTCATCTTCCCCAGCTTGCTCGCCACGCTACCGGCGCCGCCGAGCTCTGCTCGCCCGGGCTCCCACAACAAGTGCAGGTACCTGAGTTCTTTGTCGTCTCTCTGTCCGACTCGACCCAACACCACTTTGCCCTCACCAGTGCCACTTATCCCAAACCCGACAGCAGCGGTACCCCCGTCCTCTATCCCCTCCACGTTACCCCGCCGCTGCTCTCTGTCCGCCGCCGCCGCCGCCGCCTCCGCTGCCGCCGCCTCCCGGGTTTCATCTTCGGGTCCGGGCTCCACCATGTACTCCCCCTCGGAGCTGGATCGGTCATTATCCGACGCTGCTGCATCGATAGGGCTCCACCCGTCCATACTTTATCGTGACATATGGAGGCTGTGTTTCTGCAACACTCGTCACATACGGTCCTTACTCCTGTCGAGGCAAAAAGGAAATATAGCCGTCATAAATATCAGGAGTCAACTTTGGTTACGGCATCTACTGCGTCAGCAACGGCGGGGGCCATTGCACGGCGCGTCAACACAGACACTCCCCCATTAAAACCTATAAGTATTTAAACAGTGGAAGATGCTTTTTCTTCACGGCACCAAAATGTCCCCTATTTCACGTTTTCCATCTCATCGGATAAAGGTAGTAAAAAACACGCGCATTGCACAGCCGACCGTTCCCCAGCGCACTGACGACCAATCAGATTCTCTGTTGTTCATTTGTTCCGGTCCAATAGGATCAACGCAGCCAAGCAGCCAATCAAACCGTCCCCGCGCTGGACCCCCATTGAAAGGCTTTGCGCATGCGCACTGTGTAAATGAGTAATAATGCACAAAATATTTTTTATTAGAATTTAAAAAAAAAAAGACAAACTTTGTATTTATTTTTTAAATGTTTATTCAGGTACCATGTAAAATGTATAATGCATAATCATTCTGTAACACCCACCCTCCACCTATATAGCTTCATATAATCTAAATTTCCATGATATGAAAATGGCACATTATAATGTATATAAATATTTTGTGAGGAATACTAATAAGGGACAAGGTGCCTCACACAGTAATACTTATTTTATCAGACTGTCCCCTAATTTCTCCTTTTTATTTCTAGTGAATAACTGCATAATTTTACTTCTTCAGGACTCTTAAACATTATTAAAATAAAACAAGGAAAAAAAAATCACTCTTTGGTTGAAATAGTCAAGTGGTAGAAATCTGCAATTGGTGATGAGAGGGCTGCAAGAAGAGAAGCTAATAAGGTTGGGGACCACGGATCTGTAGGATGGTATTCAGTCAAAAATATATGGTCTTATGGAGGGAATGATTATGGGCGCTGGAGGTAGCAAGTATGAGGGACCTTAACAGCATCATAGGCATAGCTTTAACACGCTTTAAGGGATAGTTTGAGTTTTTTGACGTGGGGTTGTTTGAGCCTGATCAGCGCGCTCCCGGTTAGGAGATGAGACCGGGAGCACTGGCAGACTAGAAGAGCAATGTCTAAAACATGTTTTAGACACTTTTAAAAACATTCACCGAGACAATCCAATATCCGTTTAAATGTACGCTTCATGTAGAATATTTTCAGCGGTTTATCTTCCCGTGAAAACAGCACTTTCCTTTGGCACTACATTTTTTTTCAACCAAGCACAAGTGCACTGTATTCTGCCGGTGCTCCCGGTCTGATCTCCTAACTGGGAGCGTGCTGAACAGAATCCACTGCAGGTTGATGAACCGACTATTCATGAGTGCCTCACACAACCCCACGTCAAAAAAAAAACCCAAACAGTCCCTTTAAGTAAAAACAATCATAAGTCAAGTCTCAGTCCTGAAGACATGGAGGCTCCAGCTTGGGCCAGGTAGTTGGGGAACGCTGGGTCAGCCCCCGATGTGTCTGCATCCTGCTCAGTGGGCATCAATCCAGGGTCGTGAACGTGCTGCCGCAGCCGACTCTTGGGAGCGACACCCTGCCGCTTCAAGTATCCTTGCTGACAGAACAGCGGCGGCTTGCGGTGGGTAAGGGATGAATGGAAACATGATTCTAAAAAAAAGACAAAGAAGAAACACGGGATTGGGTCACTGCACCACCTGCTGTACAATCAGTGACATCACTCAGTCTGGGCTTAGGAGTGCAACGTGCTTACAGGTTTCAGGTTTCATTTCCTGCAATTATAACCAGCTGTGAGGTGCTGCTCTACCTGCATAGAAGGATCTGAGGTCAGTCTGGACACAGCGCTCCAGGAAGCGCCGCAGTGGCTGGATGTGAGATATGGGACCCTCCCACTCTGTGAGGAAGTCCTCAACCATGTGATGAATTGCCTTGGGTCTTGGTAGAGGCCAGCCATGGGGACGGAGCTTCATTTCCTCCTCTGGGATAAAAAAAACTTTACATTAACTTTCATTCTGAGTTTGTTCTCAGTCAAAACTGCAGTGGTTCTATTTCTAAGAAGTACATTTAGCTTTTTAATGGTAGTACTCACCAGTAGGAAGTGTGTCATAGTAGTATAAAACAGGGTGCAGAAAGTTGGATTTCCAAGCTCTGGTCCAGTCTGTTTCTGCCCTGTTACGCCCCAGATAGTCTATCTTCTTCTTCCCATACTGCATGACTACAACTACCAGTCCGTGGCTGGACACCTCGCGGCCCGAGAGAGACGAGAACTGAGGCAAGGCCTGGATCGGAAACTCTTCCACGTATTCACAGTGAGAGCTGAGAGTGACAGAGAGAGAGGACAGGACCGAAACATGACGAGCATAAAAAAGAATCAACGGTTGGTTTTGTTTATTTTGAAAAAGGTCAGGTGATGAAGAGCCTTCTGTGAAATGCGCTCATACAGGGAGTGATACTTATAGGACGAATAACCAGCTGCTGCAATCACAACATTATCCGTCAGTTAAGGTAAAGTAATGAAAAACTTATTTCTGAAAATGAAATACTTCACAGACGACACTTCTTTGCTTCCTTGGCATCCAGCCACTGCTCTTTCGCACTAATTTAAATGAGCCAGTTTCAACATCTAATGCCTCTCAGCCAGCGGCCACATCCATTCAGTGATGTTCACCAGGAAGCAGCTGAGAGCAGCAGCAGTTCTTTCTTGTCACCGTGACCCTCATCAGGACATGTGACTTGGGTCATGAACAAATAATCATAGCTGGTGATATCAAAATAACATCTGCTCACCCTCGAAGGAGTACGACATCCCCAAGCACTTCAAACATTTGGTACGGCCCAGAGGCCTCGCCAACCCGCTTCAGAATCCAGGACAGCAGCTGCGTTGTCGACAGCTTTGTCGATGGCCACGGGTTGCTGTGGTAACGGCGTTCAAGTACACGATGTACAGCTCGAGCTGTGGCAGAGAATCCATGCAGTTTTATCAAATGACTCCTTGATCGTGTGTAAAACTGGTGTAAAAAGAGCTGCACGTGCGGTTCAGCGCTCACGCCGACCGTGAGGACGTGACAGTTGCTGCGAACAGGATTAAACAAGCTTTGCTGCAATAATGTCGGGACTTTCACCTGTGTAACGGAATCCGTGGATGAAGCCGCCGGCGGACGAGCGGTAGTCTCTGGAGTGAGCTGCGGTCCCCAGCACAAACAAACCGGGGGTGTTCTTCCCTTCATACCACGCCGTCACCCCCGGCAACCTCCCTTTTGCATTGTCACTGTTTGGTGGGCAGGCAGAGCTAGGGAGATGTTTTTAAAGAAAGGTGAACATTATGGAAATAAAACAGCTTTTTTTAATATATATATATAAATATATATATATATATATAGTAACATGATACAAGGTAAGGGAATTTGTCATTTGTAAACAACGCAGTGCATTATTTGTCATGAATGCATGGACACGGACACGTTACAGAAATCTCTACCTGTCGAATATGCTGAAGTTGAATCGGAATCCGAGGCATCGGATCACGCGGTCGTAAGGGTTTCGCGTGGAGAAGTTGTCGATGTGATACCCCGGCAGTTCTTCTCCAGTCACTTCAGAACTGTTCTTCCTCTTGTCCTGGTTCTGTTTGTACTTCTTTAAAGTCAGGTACAACTTTCCCTTCTTCTCTCTCTTCTTCACACCTGGTTTCCTCCCGACTTGCTCCTTTCGCCGAGCGATAACTATTTTCTCCAGGCGCGCCTCCACCAATCCATCGAGGGACTTCAGCTGGTACGTGTCCAGTAACTCATTATTCACAGCTCTGAAACACAGAGACAGTTCAGGGTCAGTTCATGTTAAAAATGCTAACTCCAGCACAGAACACCAATTCCCAAACAGGGGTACTTGTATCCTCTTGGGTACATCTGCAGTTGACAGAGGGTAAATTATGATTAAAAAAGTGTATACAAAATATTGTAAATATCCATGTTTATATAATTAATTATATCAAAAAACATCAAATTTAAAGGGGCTTTTTGTAAGTTTTCTCTGCTGCCGAACACGGTTGTGTTTAGAAGACGAGAGGTTACGATACGGCATCGTCAGGTCAGATTGGAGGCTACAGGGAGTCGCTATCGGAAAAGTAACTAGCTGGTTAGCGACAAAGGCTAACATTGGCGTTCATTTCCACCGCTGGAGACAGGCAATGAAGTTTGACGCTGAACTCTAACGTCAGCTATGTAGCAAGAAGAAATCCCTGCACCTTCAGCCGTACCTGAGATCTCCTACATAATGCGTTTGCCAAGCCAGTCGAACGGGGCTGGAGCTGAGCATGTGCACCCGACTGGCTTTTCCCAAGATGCTCTGGGCCGTTTCAAAGGCAGAGTTCCCCTTTCCCAGAATAAGCACGGCCTGATCCTTGTAGTCCTCAGGGTTGGTGGAGATGGACTCGTAGCCCTCGACCAGCTCAGAACCGACAAACTCCACCTTCTGAGGAACCCACAAACCTGTGGCCACCAGCAGGACGCTGAAGGGAGAGAGGACAGAAGTACAATACGAGGCGATCTACAGTCCAGACCGATGTAAAAATGTTCATCTCTCAGGTTTTGTATGATGCAAAATACCTGCACGTGTAGTCTGACGCATGCTGGTCAGTCAGGACGTAGCTCACGCCGGTGGCCGACTGCGTTGCCCTGATCCGTCCGACGTCCACACCGTACCGGACCCTCAGCCCGAGCTCCTTCACAAACATGGACAGGTAGAGCGGGAAGGCGTCGGCCGGCGGGTAGAACTCGCTGCTCACTCGCTTGAACAGGAGGTCAGGTTTATCGCTCAGCAGCGAGTTCCAGTCGTGGCGCAGGTTGAACTCTCGGTTCTGCCTTCCTGTGTAGATCTTGTTGATGCTAATGAGCTTCCTGTGCCTGGGATACCTGGACACACACACACACACACACACACAAACAGAGCAGAGACGGAAAGCGTCAAAAGGTGATTTAAGACAGACAAATACGATTTTCCAGTACCAACAGGAAATGCTTTCACAAAGTTTCTTACTTGTTAAAGAAGCTGCCCGGTCCCGAGTTCCTCTCCAAGATGATGTATTCTCTTTTGGCCTTGGAAAGGAAATGTCCCATCTGCAGCCCCGCAGGACCGGCTCCGAGCACACAGTATTCAAAGTGGCGGGTGCCATTGTGGTGGTGGTGGCTATCAAGGGAGCATTTGACACAGCCAATCACAAAGATGAAAAGGAGAAAACAAGGAAGGCTCGGATCCATCACCTGCTGGACATGAACAATGACACAACACAATAAAATCACATATTAAATCAATAATTACATTAAACATTTTAGAATAAAGCAGTAACAATAACATTTTGGAAACTATGGTCCATTAAAAAACAAAAAAAGAAAGTGAAAAACTGGATCATAAAATGTGTTATTTGTGTATAATGTTGTTTTCCATTGTTTGTAAATGAAACTCTACAGCTACATGTTTTTGATTTAACCAGCTCGAGCCTGTAAGAGCATCTGGGCCACGATTAGGCAACTGGCAAAACTGAGGCTCGATACTCTGGAGCACATTCATACAAATCCCTCCTTAAAATTATTACGACATTATTACGACTTTAAACTTACAGGACAGGAAGCTAATGCTTTAACTTCTGAATTAGCTGAATTAGGTTGAAAGCAGGAGTGGACACGAGCTGAGTATCTCACCCCCACCCATCCACCCTACCTCTCTCCGGCTCTCCCTGAACTCTCCAGCCGATGTTATATCACCGATCTTGGGGATGCGGCGGCTGCCATCGCCCGCTGAACCAGATGTGAGGTCGGCTACTGCGTAAAAATAAAAACAAAGAGACCCGCGTCACCTTTTTTTATGTTTATTTTTTTTTACACCCGTCGATCCCTCGCGCGCAGCAGCAGCAGCTGTGGTTTAGCATTCATCACACCTGTCGAGATCTCTACATGTTTACTAACGTGCATTTTTTTTTTTAAAGACTGGATTTGTGCAGTTTCCCCCCCCCCTCCTCCCCACCCCTCTCCCATGAAAATCCACTAGCACTACCCACTTCCCCCTCGGATGACTAAAGCCAATGGAGGGCTGCTTGCATAAGGGGGCGTGCTTAGAGAACACCATAGAACAGAGTAGATTAGAATAGAAGAGAATAGAGCACCGAATGAAAGATGTCCTACATTCCCTGACTGAGCAGGTTCCTGTGGTGGGGGAGGTGCGCCTGGTATATTTCACATAAAGTTAAAGATCCCCTCAAAAAAGGTGTTTTAGACAGATGAACAATAATAATCTGTGTCTGATGTGTGTTTCTCTAATAGTTCAAATGTCTTACAGTTACTTCTGCCTCTTCTCCTTCACTACAAAAAAAAAAAATCCAGGATATATGAATGTTTTATTGAACTTCTGGACCACGTGACCTGCTGTGGCATCTGTGGTCGTGATGTCACAAAGAGAAAGACTGAGATTTAAGGTGATCAAACTTCAGTGGATGAAGGCTCCTAGTGTCAAAACACATTTTTAAAGGCCTCGTGAAATTATAGTATTATAATTATATAAATATAGTATAGTAGTATTTTCTCTGTACAATACTCACACTCTAGTCTCTATATTTCAAAGCTCATGATGCACCTTTCCACATGTTTTTCTATTTTGCTATTTTATTTTACTTCAATGGAAAACTGATTGATTGATTCTCACTTGCTCAGCACTTTGAATGCGTCAGTGAAATGACGAGGGATTGGTTCAGATTGTAATAATAATGACAATAATAATAATAATATAGTATTGTATTGTATTGTACATTGTTGTCAGGAAGCCTAAAGGAGGTCCACTTTAACACTTCGTGTTAAGGTGCTTTATATGTCACTGAGAATCTTAATATTATGGCAACAAATCGTATTCTATAAGATCATAAAAAGGTTTTGTGCATAAACTCTTAATCTGAAAAGTAACTGCAAGTGTTGAATAAATATTGGGGTCTAAAAAACTCTTACTTTTCCCACTGAAAAGTAGTGGAAATATGTCATTACTCAATTATTATAAGAGTAATGTACCTGAGCGCATTACTTGAGTTTAATGTACTTGGTCACATGTCCACCCTCTACATTTGATCAGAGTGAACTTCTGATTTCAGCCTTCTCATGTTTTCTGTTTTTTCCACACTCACATTGCTTCGTCATGTTAAGCAGCAGCCGTCCGAGAAATGTGAGTCAGCACTCACACTTCCCATTTGACTCAGCAGCTTCAGGACCACGTCTCTATAAAAGAGGCAGGGACAGGAGGTGAAAGGCCACAGCGTACCGATCACTCTGAGGAAGTGACAACCGCAGACGGACTTCAACCAGAGTCAAGGAGAAAAAGACTTTGCTTAATCGCAGGTAAATAAAACACATTAAATACACTGTTATGTACCTTTCTTTTCATTGATATTAAATGTGTCTAACTGAGACAAATCAACCGTTGGTCACAGTCTGCACAGATGGAGAACATGAAGAGCGCCAGGAAAAATGACACTGGGGAAGTTGGCAGGTAAGAGGAGTGACTCGTGTTAACAAGAGCTTTAAAACTCGGATCTGTTTTATGTGTTTTCAGATGAGCATTTTCATACTTTAAATGTGATCTATTTCCTGTCTGCGTCTGCCCCTCAGTGATTTATCAGAGCAGATCAAAGCAGCCACTAAAGACAACCACGTCCGAGCTGAAAACACACAGCTGATGCTGAGCTACCAGAAGGGACAGATCACCCTGCCGCAGTACAAGGTCGGTTCTGCTCCGTACCCGGCCCGTTACTTATTTATGTTTACACCGTCCTGAGAGGTGGATATTCACCTGTATACGTCCGGCAGGTGCTGCTGTGTTCCCTCTACGAGATCTACAAGGCGCTGGAAGACGAGCTGGACAGAAATGCCTCCCATCCAGCTGTTGCGCCGATATACTTCCCTCAGGAACTCGCCCGTCTGGAGTCTCTGGAGAGAGATCTGGAGCATTTCCTGGGCTCAGACTGGAGGAGGAGGCTGGTCGTTCCCGCAGCCACACACAGATACGAGCAGAGGCTACGAGAGGTGAGTGACACGCTGCGAAATGACGAATGAATCCCAACACACACACACACACACACACGGAGACACATACAGAGCTGATTAGGTGCTTATGTTACAGATTGGCAGGGAGAACCCGGCGCTGTTGGTGGCCCACGCCTACACTCGGTACCTTGGTGACCTTTCAGGAGGTCAAGTCCTGGGGAAAATTACCCAGAAGTCTCTTGGGCTGAGCAGCAAAGAGGGGCTTTCGTTTTTCTCCTTCCCCAGCGTGACCAGCCCGAACCGCTTCAAGCAGCTGTACAGGAGCCGCATGAACGGCATCGAGCTGACGGAGGCGCAGAGGGCAGAGTTGCTGGAGGAGGCGGTGTCGGCCTTCGAGCTCAACATCCAGGTGGGGGAAAGAGCAGATTCAATACTATCACACAGAATCACTCAAAGTCACATGAAGTGGTAAAAAAAAACAGGAAGTGAATACATACACAGGAAGCAGAGCTCACCATTTTTCTTGGCTTGTGTTTCTGCAGGTTTTTGATGACTTGCAGAAAATGTTGAGTGTCACAACAGCAACAGTGGACCAATCAGACAGCGCCGTCCCAGCTGCCGCGCACCCATCCTCACACTTCATGCAGGTCACCGTGGGACTGTGCGTCGCTCTGGCCACTATTGGAATGGGAATCTACACCTTCTAGTTTTTACCTGCACGTGTGATCAATAAACAAACACACACAGCACTTTACTAATCACTGAATCAATGCAAATTGTGTCCAAGTTTATAAACGATCTGAAATGGTGATTTTCTCAACTTGTTAACTGTCATGTGTATGAACTTTATTAAACAATCACACACTGTGAAAACTGTCTAGAGCTCGTCGCTTCATGATTCACAACCAAACTGAAAGTCAACATGTTTTCAGTTCTTTTTTCCACTCAAAGAATCCATGTTCCTATCGTGTTCAGTGGGTGCATCAGTGTAGTATTACATTACCAAAAAAAAAAAACGTACAATTTGAACAGTGCAACATATAAATGTCAACTTTATAGCACGTGTCCATATTAAGAGGAGCAGAACATGCGAAACGAACCCCTTCAACCCTCATATGAAAAGGTATTTCTCCCCTGGAGTTTTAAAGAGGGTTTCACATTTAAGTAAGGAGGAAATAAATCAAAGCGGGGGTTTAGAAACGGATAAACTTCTATAATCTGTATTACTGACTTTACATCAACAGAACGAGAAAGAAAAATAAAATAAAAAGGGGAAATCAAGCCTTAATTTGACTGAGGATTTGGAAAGTATTCTAGGGAAGGTCGTCACATCTTCAGGAACTTTTTGTTTGAGGCTTAGACGGGACATTACGTCCCCGCAGCCACTGAGTAACACAATCAATACTGCACACCTGGCCAAAAGAGAGGCAGGCGCGCTTCATTTTCTCCAGTAAAACCATGAAGGGCGACCAGGGGCTACAAGTCAAAATTGAGGGCTGGGGACAGAGTGTGGAAAACATCCTTCCAGTATTTTCCCAGGTGAGGACAAGGGCAGAACATGTGGATAAAGAGTCACATCTGGATATATACAAGAAAGTTTGCAAATATTTTAATTCTTCTTTATTTATTTTTATTTTTTTTTACAGAGTATGCAGACACTTTACATTCTCATATCAACACAAAACATCTTTAAGAGCTAAACGGTGCTATATCCAAAACATGTTTTCATCCTGGGACATGTGAGCAGACGGCGGCTGCAGCTGCTGCTGCTGCTGCCGCCAAGAATCCAGGTCCAACCAGGTTTGAAATTAATTATTGTATTATTGGTAAACACAGAGCAGCACAAATATGCAGAGAAAAAAAAACTATTTACATCAACAACAGTACGATATGTATCGGAGCAGCTCTACTTGACTCTGTAGAGCACTTTCCTCTGCATGCGGTGCTGCAGCTCCCCCCGCCTCAGCATCAGGTGCAGCACTTTGTAGATGGCGTGCTCTGGATACTTCTGCAAGAAGGAACAAACAGGAGAACACAGATGTTACTCACAGGACTCATTACTTAAGTATTTATCCTTCACAAATCAAAGCTGGGACTCGGTGACTTGTGTTATTACATCCCACTGGCTTTCATTTTCCACATGTAGCTTTATACGCATGTAAAGCAATAAACCAAATATTGTTTCTGCCAATCCAGTGGTAAATGTAAAACCACTTTCATTTGCTTAAAGTGATTTACGGACTGAAACTGCCTGTTTACAACAGAATATGACTTCTCATAAAAGAACATCAACAGACTCAGAGCAACAATATCTCGTCTTTTATCAATTTGGTCTCAATATCAACCAGTTATTTTACCTTTAAGAAGAAATCCAAACATTTTAATTTGAAAGTTTATGTGTCGTTTCACGCCATCGTGATTCTCCTCAGACCGACCTGTTTGGTGAAGTCCTGGACGATGCTGTGCTCGGACACCTGGGAGCCGATAGCGAAGCGTCTCTTCAGCTGCTTCTCTACGCGCGAGACCATTTCCTGGTCCTCCTGCGAGGTGAAGCCCTCCACTCCTACAGACGAGACGTCAACAACCGTTAAGAGCATGAAAGCACTGCGTCCAGTTACAAACACTTTTCATCTTCCAGACCTTTTTCTTATTTTCACTGAATACAATAAAACGAGTGGCTCCAGTCTCACTCACACACACACACACACACACACACACACCTGACAGGCTGCCCGACAGCGCAGCGTCCAGCGTAGAAACCTGGAAGAGTCTGAGAGCCTCGTCCACCTCTTCCTCTCCAGCCACGGCCTGCAGCTTCATCTTAGCCAGAGACTCTGCGATACGCACGACCGCCTCCAGCTGCCTGAACGACCACAAACACAACGACATGTTTACACTCGAGTCAGAGGCGGAGGGAAAAAAAAAAACACACACACACACACACACACGTCCGTCACCGAGCCGCAGACAACGAAACGCAACAAGTAGAAATACCTGACGGTGATGGGGATGGAGGGTCTCTTGTCGCTCTCTCTTTCGTGCTCCCTCGCTCCGCTCCTCATCACCACGTATCTGTTCTTCAGCTTCTCAGCAGCCGCCGCGGAGAGCCGAGGGCCGCACTTACTGCGAGCAAACATTCGGACCAGATTAGAAACATTCAGACCAGATTATAAAACCAAGCCGAAATGCCTCGCCTTGTGCCGCCAGCGAAAAACAAAACTCAGGTGTACTCACGCTCTGGAGTAGGCGATGTATTTCTTAAAGGTGGCCAGCGGGATCTCGCCCTCAACACCCTCGGTCTGTGTCTGAGCGCTGAGGTGGACGTTCATCACGTGACGAGCCAAAGTCTGCAAACGGCAAAAAAAATTAATAAAACTAAAACATCGCACTCGCGCGTTTCTATTTCTGCTGATCCGAAGATTTACAGCGACAAACTCCCGGGCCTCCTCACCATGTCTCTCTGCTGGTCGTGCTGGTCTTTGATGATGAAGATCATGTCGAAACGGGACAAGATGGTGGGCATGAAGTCGATGTTGTCCTCCCCCTTTGTGTCGTCCCAGCGGCCGAACACGGAGTTAGCCGCGGCCAGGACTGAGCAGCGGGAGTTCAGCGTGGTGGTGATGCCAGCCTGGGAGGAGACCGCACGTTAGTTTGTCCCCTCACTACAGATTGTGTGGTTGATGTTTTGTTTTTGTTTTTTTTAAACACACATCTGGGGAATACCTTAGCGATGGAGATGGTCTGTTGCTCCATGGCCTCGTGGATGGCCACTCTGTCGTCCTCTCTCATCTGAGGGACAGAAGCACAGGTTCGTCTTTAACCCCTGAGGAACTAATTACGATAAAATAAAACGGCTCCTGCTCCTCTGAATTATTCTCACCTTGTCAAACTCATCGATGCATACGACTCCGCCGTCAGCCAGCACCATGGCCCCCCCCTCCATGATGAATCCACGAGTGTTGGGGTCCCTCAGCACGGAGGCGGTCAGACCGGCTGCACTGCTGCCTTTTCCCGAGGTGTAAACCTGAAGACGCAGAGTCAAACTCGCCGTCAGTGGGTGGATTTAAATTAGACAATAAACGCAGAATAAAAACTTTTTCTATTAAGTAAAGCTCCATCGGTACAGGAGGACATTAGTACCCCAATAGGTGAGCATCTCTCCACGAACTTGAGCAGCTGAGACTTGGCTGTACCAGGATCTCCCAGCATCAGCAGGTTGACGTCGCCCCTGCGAGTGAGACCATCAGGCAGCCTGAAGGACGGGAGACAAGCGCATTACTTCACCTGAGGGAAGTAAACCTACAGGAGACCGAGTTATCATCCTCTTCTACAGTCAGTTTACCTTTTCCTTGAACCTCCGAACAGCAGACAGGTGATGGCCTTCTTCAGGTCGTCGCTGCCGTAGATGGAGGGAGCGACGGAGCGCGCCAGAGAGTCGTAGACGTTCGGAGAAGCGGCCAGCGCTCTGAGTTCCTCCTCCTCCTGCGGGGAAACCGATCCGGTTGCACCGCGACCTGCAAGAGACGAAGAAACAACACATTAACATCTGCTGAACATCTGCTAGAATCACACAGACACACGAGCCTCTTTTACAGCAGGAATTCATCTTTACCTGCTCCTTCTGTGTCCACCTGGATGCCGACCACTCGCAGGTAGGACGCACGAATGCCCACGCCAACGCTTTTCTCTTTGCCTTTGGCCTTCGCAGCAGCCATTTTCTTGATGGAGTAGATACCCATGATGGTCACCCTGTTGCCTGGGACCACACGGTCACACAGATACCTGAGAGAGACGGACGAGGAGGAGGAGAGTTTGCAGTCGCTCCGATTTCTCATTATGGATTCTGGATTAAATCTGTTTCCTCGAGAACGAGCTCCTCACCTGTCGCAGTAGAGCTGCAGGTGACGGGGCATCTCTCCGTGCGGCACAGCGTCTGGAGATTCCTGCAGGCGGAGAGTCTGGAAGTCGACGCAAATGCAGCGGTCTGGGATGATGAAGTAAGGGTCTACGGGACACTTCACCCTGCCAGGGTTCTCACTGAGGAAACAGAGTTGGTTGGAGTTAATCCTGCCTCACGGCGAAAAGGCGTTTGTGCAGATATTCCCCCGAGCGGGTAAAACTCACGTGTTGCACTTGCGCGGCAGAGCGTAACCCTGCAGGCCCGGAGGCAGCGGGATGTTGTTGATGACGTTGCGGCAGCCGCGGCACTGCAGACACACCCTGGTGGCCTTCGCCTTCACCGCCGTGGCCGAGATGACGATGCCGTGCACCTTCACCAGACGAGACACCTGCTCAGACTGCGGGGGAGAGAGAGATGAGCATTAGACCAAACTGTTGAGGACGACTGTAAGAATATGAGACACGACGGGGTGTGTGGGTACCTTGAGGCTGCGAATGGACGCGTGATGGGCGTCACTCTTCACCATGACCTGGATGTCCTGCACCGTCTCCTCCCCTACGGGCCGGGGACGGGTCACTTCATCAGCCACCTCCTTTGCAGCTTCCTCCAGCTGAAAATTAGAACAAATTGTTACAGGAGAGCAAATCATGTAAAAAAAACAAAACAAAAACAAAACTAGAAGGATAAAAGAAGGAGGCCGGTGTGTATTTGAGCAGTGAACCCACCAGCGGCAGGTTCTCAGTGGGCAGCTTGTAGAGACAGTCCGACAGATCCTCGTCAAAGCTGGCGAGGTCCTCCATCTCCACCTCCACCCAGTACTCCCCCAGGGTGTAGTGTCTCTTCAGCTCATCTCTGGTTTAAAGAAAATGGATAATGTGTTGTTTATGATCTCACGTCGCCGCACAAACTGAAGAAGCACAGCTATTAAAAGTAAGATCAAATACCAATACTGCAGTACTGTAGCTTTAGCTTAGCTTC